GCATTAAAATTACTTAAATTTAGAAACATATAAAAAATTATACTTTTACATTAAATCACTTTCCATCAATAGCCGCGTTTATTTTTATATTTACCGAAATCCAATCATATTTAATTTTGTTTCCATCAACATTATTAATAAATCAAATTTAAAGGATTTTTTATTAGGTGAATTGATTATATGAAGTGAATTAATAATTAATCAAATGTAATTTTACTATAGTGGGAATGAGTGATCAGTTATCATAATAGACATGCTTGAGGTCACTAGAATGGTAAATAAATTAGCGACAGCCCATAAAGGGATGAAAATTAAAAAAAAAAAAAATTGACCATAACAAAAAAAAAAATAAGTATAGGGTTCACAATGATGGCTTAATGTACATAACACAAGGAAGCAAGAGTTCTAGCTCATATTATCTAAGTTTGACAGTGACAAGGTCCCTTATTTGTTTTCCCTCTCCTGTTGCGAGTGGCATGGATGACGTTTTCATTTTAGTGAGTAGTAGCAGCCATGAAATCTGGACTTAGTGGTGCACCATATTATCCTTCCACCACCCAGCTCATATCTCAATTATTCAAGTAATTAACAAATGGAATCGCTACTTGTTAATTCAAGCAAAAATCACATAAATTTAATTTCATTTAATCTATCAAAGAAAAGAAATGCTACACACAAAAAATTAAAATTAGACTAACAATATATATATATATATATATATATATATATATATATATATATGGGTTTAGCGAAAGCACAATGGCTGCACCTACGGATTAGTGCAGTCATATAAAATTACGTCGATTTATAGTGTGAAAGCATTATATATAGTGAATTAAAACCATATAAAGGTGAAAATAAATATAAAGCATTAAATATGAGAAATCATAACCATACAAATGTGGAAATAAATATAATATTTTTATTTTCTACAATTAATTTTGAACACGAATTTCCTTTATCCCACCCAAAACGACGTAGTTTTTAAGTGACTGCACCAATGTTTATATACAGTCACATTACAAATTTTTTTGTCTATATATATATATATATATATATATATATATATATATATATATATATATATATATAGGGTTTTATAAGAGTTATGTTGTAGGAAGAGTGATTGTGTTATGTTATAGAGATTCGTTTTGCATGCCGAAGTTTTTTTTTTTTTTTGCTGCGGGCCTCACAAAATGTTGTGTGTAAAAAACTTTTTGTGGTCATGTTAAATGATAGATGATAAACCCATATATATATATATATATATATATAGTATATTATTATTATTATAATATCATCCAAATGTCAAACGGGTAAAAATGAATCAACATTAAAGTTGTTACCCTTATAGCATTAATGTTAGTTAGAATTGTAATTATCATTAAAGCTACAATTGTAACACATTATAATCATAACAATTTTAATGTTGACTTAATACTAAATTTAGAATTGTAATCATCATTAATGTTGTCATGGTAACGTATTAAACCTAGGGCAAGATTTTTATTTTTTAAATATAGGCCAGGCTCGAATCTCCCCAGTACCACCTTTGGAAGGGGTTTAAAGCCTTAATCCTGAACCCGCCCTGAATCGGATTAGTTGCGAATCAATGAACCGATTGGAATATTTTCAACAAAAAAAAATATACATGTATAATGACGTAACATCTATAAAAAGCCCCATTAAAAAAACCAAAAGCAAATGTTGTTCTTCTTGTGTTTTCTTTTTCTTTTTTCCTTAGATAATAAGATATCCTGAAAAAAAAAATCTAAAATCCAAAAAAAAAGCATATCAAGTGAGGAAAGCTTCCAAAATCTATCAAGATATCCAACAAAGAAACCCAACTAATATAATCTCTAGACAAATAAGACCGAAGAAAATATATATTCTCAATGTGTGATTGGCAAGTTGTTCTGTAAAATATAATTGTGTGCGTTAATTTTAGATTTTTAATTTAACATGTTTGGTGGGGGGGCAAGAAACTTTATTTACGAGTAATGAAGGCAAATAAAAAAAATAAACATAGAATAAATCCTTCCCAAATGCCCAGCTGCAAATTAAATTCAAAGCAGAACAATAACCAGAAGCGAATCATTTTCATTCAAACATTCAAAGCCAAGATGGTAAATGCTATGAAATTCGTGCCTCTAAAAATGTTATTAGTTATTACTTAATAACATGCTGCTAAACTAGTAAAATTAATTATGTAACCTAATTAATTTAAATGTTAAGTTGGATTTGATCTATGATGTAACCTAATTAATTTAAATGTTAAATTAATAAAATTAATTTGAATTCTAATTTCGAATTTCGAATTTGAAATTTGAATTTAAATAAAATTAATTTAAATTCTAATTTTAAATTTCGAATTTGAAATTGGAATTTAAATATAGTCATTAAATTAGATTTATTGAAAATGGAGAAAATAAAAGAAACCAATCAATTAGATTGATTGGAAACAAATCAATTGGATTGATTGACCAAAATTAAGGAAACCAATTAATTAAATTAATTGGCTGAAATTGGAAAAACAAATCAATTGGATTGATTGACCAAAATTAAGGAAACCAATTAATTAAATTAATTGGCTAAAATTTGGAAAACCAATCAATTGGATTGATTGGATAAAATTAAGGAAATCAATTAATTAAATTAATTGGCTGAAATTGGGGAAATCAATCAATTGGATTGATTGGATAAAATTAAGGAAATTACCTAATAAGATTGGGATTTGATGAGGGCGCTAATTTGACCTAGTCTTAGGTTAATAAGTCGTCACATCTATATATAGCCCCTCTTCTTCCTTAGTTTGATATCTCTTCTTCTTCTCTAATTTTCTCCACTGAAACCTTAGTCAACACACGCATCAGTGTGGCGGCTATCTCTCTCTTGGAATAACCAAAGGCACTACCCAATCTCCATTATTCTCTTGAGTTTTGCAACCTCCATTGAAGGATACTGGGCATTCGAAGAAGTGTTCTTCTCTTACAAGACAACGTGGTGTGGTGGTGTGGATTTCCATCGGAGGACTTGTGTTATTCAAGTCTGAAGAATTGATCAAGAACGCATTTGATCAGGAATAATTATCCGAATAAAGGTATATACTTTAAACCCTAACAAGTCTATTGCATGATTCATGGGTTAAACATGATTGAGGGTGGGCAAAGGTTACTTCTTCCGCACAAAAATTTAATTTTTTCCCTCTTTTAAGGTTCATGCAACTTTCAGTGCAAATTTTGAATCTTACCGAATCAGTTTTTAAGTCTTTTGCATACCACAAACATGAGCAATCATGCATGTCAAAAGGGCATAAGATGCAATATTAAATGGCACGCCCAGGCCCATGTCAGCAGATCGCTGATACATTTGACATGATAACTCCCCATTTGCTACATAGAACTGCAAAAGATAAAATTAAAAAAAAAAATCTTTAAAATGGAGAAAGAGAGAGACACTTTTTTAATTGAGAAACTCAAATAAAATTGCAGACCTGTGCAAACATGTGGCAGGGTGGAAGAGCCATCAATTTAAGATCAGGTGGATTCCATGCAGAGAGAACGATCCGTCGATCATCAGGATTATGCTTTATCTTGTTAATAACATCTAAAAGCTGATCAAATCCTTGGCTTGAGTAGTCAGTATGCATGTCAGTATACCTATAAAATGCAAGATAGGGAATAAATAACTGGGCTATGACACATAAATCTATTGACCTACTGAGAAAAAAAGTATATATATGGTTAGTAATTGCAAGAATATTTTGTTGCCTCCACTGAAACCTATAAACAGGTCCCAAGTCACCTTCCTCCCGCTCTGTGAAACCAATACTGTAATAAAAAATGTAAAGCCAGTTAGTAATTGCAAGAAGAAAAGTATACAATTTGTACTTAAAAGTTAAAACATGTTTTAAGAATGAAGTTCAAAATAATCATATATGGATGCCTTTCTCTGGAGAACATGTCAGTATAACATGTTTTAAGAATGAAGTTCAAAATAATCATATCTGCTCACAAAAGATTCTTTGAGAACCAAAAAATAAAACACCTCATGCAAGTTAAGTATTGTGATTAAAGTTTTAGTCCAGAACCATTTATACTTTTGACATCAAAAAAGAAAAAATTGGACAAGCAAGTGGAAATTGAGCTACATGATTGACAAGTCATTTTGCACAATAGGTTAAACACATATCTTAAACAGTAAACTCCACTACATGCCTTAGTTGTTAGAAGAGGAAAGCTTTTGCGCAGATTGAACCTCATCTGTGGAAATATATTGATGAAGTCAGCATATAAAACACAACAACCCTCAATATACCAATAAAAATATTACCTGGCAACCGAATTTTGACAAGGTACCAGTCCCCGCCCTATCATCCTTTGTTGTACCTTTGAAAACGATTTCTTGAACCAGCCTAAGATACATGTACTTCTCATGTCTGTCAAAAATCATATTAGGATGTGTTATCAAAAAAAAAAAAAAAAAAAAATCATATTAGGAAGAAAAAAAATTTTCTCAATATCAAATTTAATGGAATCTGAATTATTATCAAATTTAATGGACTCTGCTGCAGAACTCCTTACACGCACATAAGTGGTGAAACAATAGCTGATGTTGTTTTCCACCTTAGGGAAGGATGAGTACCATGGCCGAAATATAGTAGAATCAACTGGAGGCATAAAAGTGTCATGCATAAAGGATAATCATATCCATTTTGATGCCATTTTAGCGTTTTTATTTGCTTGAGCTGCATTTGATCATGCATATAAGATATCTATCTTGTCCTTTCTTTCTATAGTTTTTTTTTTGTCCATGCATGCTAAAATATGAACATGGTTGATTGTTTTATTGGATAAAGAATTGATCTTTTTAGCTTCTGACATGTTGTTTATGGCTAAAAGGTGGTAGGTGCACGTGAAGGCTTGATTGTGGGCTTTTCATGTATGTTACTGCTTGATTCTCTTTTGCCTTACGACTAATCTTACGAGATTCAATTAATCATGTGTGACATTATGTCTGGATCTGTTGACCGAACCATGAAACTTGGTAAGTCTAATTACTTGAATTTCATATCTCAGAACTTTCCTCTGCATCCTTTGTGGTTCTTTGTCTGTATTTACTTATATTCTTTGCATGCACTATGAAATCTTTATCAATTCTATATATGGTTACATTCGTACTAGCTAGAATGTGGAATGTTATGCCATAACTATTTTGCATGCTTTTTAACATGCGATGATGAGAAAAGTGGAAAATAGAGGAAACTGAAATCAGTTTATCATCACAAACAAGCATTTTCTATTCAGAATGCGTTCGACAACAAACAAAAAGCAGTTATAAATCCAGATGTTATGCTATTGGAAAACAGATGATTTATATTTTCCTTGGTTATATATTAATTAAAACATCAGCATCAGGATATGTGATGTTAAACGTGTGAATATCTGAATTTCTGTCATCTGATTCAAACTTCTGTGAGTAAATTGTTTTCTTCATGCAAGCACAGGTCATGAAATTGAAAATTCTGAGGATGAAAAGAAAAGGCTTGGGTCGCTAAAGAAGGAGGCAATAAATGCCTCAACTAAGCTCAGGCATTCCTTTACCAAGAAGGGGCGAAAACACAGCAGGGTTATGTCTCTTTCTATTGCGGATGAAATTGATGCTGAAGAGTTACAGGCAGTCGAAGATTTTGGCCAAGCACTGATCTTGGAAGACCTATTACCCTCAAAATATGATGATCATCATATGATGCTAAGGTAACCCTTTTAACTTTTAACATAGTCTTTTGTTCATTATTTATTTATAGTTGTAGCATGAGTAACTTCGCTTAATGCCTTAATTGATGATCTCTCAGATTCTTGAGAGCAAGGGAGTTTGACCTTGAGAAAACAAAACAAATGTGGGCAGATATGCTTAAGTGGAGGATGGAATTTGGTGCTGACACTATCATGGAGGTAATCATGTGAAAAGGATAAGAATCACCCTTTATATATTTTGTGGTGTTTTTCGTCTAATCATAAATTTTTTGTGTTGTTTAGGATTTTGAATTCGAGGAAATTGATGAAGTTCTAAAATACTACCCACATGGGCATCATGGAGTTGATAAGGATGGACGACCTGTTTACATTGAAAGATTGGGTCAGGTTGACTGTAACAAGCTTATGCAAGTAACAACTATGGAACGTTATCTCAAGTACCATGTTAGAAAGTTTGAGAGGACCTTCGCTGTTAAGATGCCTGCTTGTTCAATCGCAGCAAAGAAGCACATTGACCAAAGCACAACTATTTTGGATGTGCAAGGAGTGGTGCGTATAAAATTCTAACCCTATATTTTAGTTCTTCAATCTATCTTGCCCAATGAGAAACCAATAAGAGGAAAGAAATATTGTAACACATTAGATGATACTCACTATAGATTTAAAGAGGCAATGTCCAATTCCAATTATACTAGTGGATATCATATCAATTGTTATAAATTTTTTTTCATATTGAAAGAAGTTTCACGCAATTGCTGACTAGCATGCTTGGTCAGGGTCTTAAAAGTATGAACAAAGCTGCAAGGGATCTCCTCCAGCGGCTTCAGAAGATTGTTGGTGACAACTATCCTGAGGTACTTGTTATTCTACTTAGGCATGGCAATAGTTTAAATAGCCTTCTAAATTTACCCTAACTGAGTTTTCCTTTGCATGTAGATCCTGAACCGTATGTTCATCATCAATGCTGGTTCTGGATTTAGGCTCTTGTGGAATACCGTTAAGCCATTCCTTGATCCCAAGACCACCTCAAAAATCCAGGTAAGCATTTTTAGTCTACTTATCAATTTGAACCAAGGTGGATTTTCAGTTAAGTAAGGGCAATAAACATATTAATGTTTTGTTCACCAGGTCCTAGGTAACAAATACCAGAGCAAGTTGCTTGAAGTCATTGATGCCAGGTTAAATTTATCTCCTTCTTCATTGAAGTATTTTTTTTCTCTTCATGACCAAATTCATTGATTTATAATTATGTTGTTCCATCATGGCACTGACATTACTCCTTAAGACTATAAGTAACACCTTGTCTACGGTATTTAACAGTGAACTTCCAGAGTTCTTGGGCGGTACTTGTACTTGTGCAGATAAAGGTGGTTGTATGTTTTCTGACAAGGGACCATGGAATGACCCAGACATCTTGAAGGTAGTTTACTGCTGAAATATCAATTTCTTTAGTAATATAATATACCAAATGAAAACAATAAAGTATTTCCTTTGGATGAATTAGATGGTTCAAAATGGCGAGGGAAAATGCAAGGGAAAAACCTTATCCGGCATTGAGGATGAAACATCACTTCAAAAGACAGTCGGTTTCCTAAACTGTTAACAATTTCAGAGAGCAAAGCTTTGTCCTGAAACTTTTCTTTGTATTTATTTGACAGAATATTTGATTAATATTCTTTTTTTTTGTTTTTGCCTATAATATTAAGGGTTACAAAAAATCATTTCCAGAGACACATGATGTGCAATGTTTGTTGTCAAAAGTACGTTTCCTAGGCTTCAATCAGTTGTTGTTCCCGTCCTATGTATTATTTCTTTCAAAAAATAGTTTTGAGGAAACCGCTTAGTTTATCTAGTCATGTTGTTCGCAGTGTCTATAAACTTGAGGTCATATGAATTTCTCCCGTTTTCTACTTCTGTTTCTGAGAACATATATATTGCAGGTCGAAAAGCAATCTAATGTGCATCAGTATGACGCTTTTGTCCCAGTGCTTGACGAGCTAGTCGATTCATCTTGGAAGAAATCAGTAGAAAATGATAAATATGCACCTTCTCAAGGTATTAGGTACTTCTATTTGATTGTTCTTTCATCTTATAAGTAACATATATTACATGGTCAGCAGTAAAACACTGCTCATAACAATTTGAACAACATAATCAGCATTTTTTCTCATTGACAAGGAAGAAACATATCACAATATGGTTTTGTTAAAATTCTAAATTTATTTTCCTTGCATGCAGATTGTTTCCCTACCCATAATAACAAGAATTCTGATGGGTTTAACAATCAATTTTTTGGTGGAATCGTGGCCTTAGTAATGGTAATTGTAACCATGATCCGTATGGCCTTAGTAATGGGAATTGTAACCATGATCCGTATAACATGTAACTTGCCAAGGAAAATAACTGAAGCAGCATTCTATATCAGACAAGTATATTATGATGGGACTACGATGAAAGCACCTGCAATTTCAAGCAAGGAATACACGACAACGATGAAAGCGCCTGCAATTTCAAGCAATGAATACATGACAATGATGAAGCGCATGGCTGAACTAGAAGAGAAAATGACTGTTCTCAGCATGAGACCTGTCATGCCACCCGAAAAGGAGGAAATGCTAAATGATGCTCTAAACAGGGTCAGTACTCTCGAACAAGAGTTGGCTGCAACCAAAAAGGTATTACTGTTTTTCCTTGATACTTGAATCAATGCCATCATTATTTGGGGAATAAAATAAAAGATGATAAAACATCTTCCACTAGATAACTACGTGTGCGCTAACATTTTTGGAATTTAATTTGCTTCCTATTTGGGGTTTAGGCACTTGATGATGCCCTTGCTAGACAAGTAGAACTTCAAGCTCAAATTGATGAGAAGAAGAAGAAGAAGTTGGTATGTCATACCTGCCATGCATTCCTATAAAAAAAAGTATATACTATCGAGTGCTTTTGTTCACACATTTTTGGGTTTGTGATTACAGTTCTGCTTCCACTGGTAAAGATGATAGGTGTGCTTTGCTGTGTGACCTTCAAATATTTAACATCCGCGCGACACAATCCCTCAAGCATGTGAGACAGTTTGTGGGAAGGATACTCAGTTTGTCTATTCATAAGGATTGACTTCCCAATAATATACTTTTTTATTTATTTTTTGGAACGGTACTAAACCCCATGTTTTTGGAGGCTTTCTATACCCTCGAATGCCTATTGCATTTGGTTATTTGGTTTATTCAATATTCCGTTAAAAACTTCCGTACAATCTAAAGTTTGCCATTCCTTGACACTTGTGTATATGTTGCAGGAAATTAGGCACGATTTACCTTTTATTTTTAAAAAATAATAATAAGATTAGATTGCTTTGCAAATTAATGGTCCCAAAAGCCATCGAAAGTAACACTAATTTTGCATTATTATTGAAACCCGTCGGGTTCTATGAACTTGAAAAAACAGATATTTTTAGAAGTACCTTGCGCATTCATATAGTTATGAATTACGCTCTCCCTCTTCCACTTTAATTAGTATTCTGAGTAAAAGTCCCACCAATCGAATACTAAAACCTTATTTTCTTCCCTTAAATCTACCTTTTGATAAGAAGGAAGACTTCCTACCAAAACATTTTACCAACTGAATGTGCTCTTAACATATCTCAAAAGAATCCAATCCGGCTGAAAGCCGTCTTGTACCTGTCATCGCAGTCATTTTGGAAACACTTGTGCAATGCTTGCTCGTCAAAACACCTTTGCATGAATAGATTCTACCAAAGATATTTCTTTCGTCCCACCCGGTAAATAAATTCGATTACGACATAGCTTTTGACAGTAATTACTATAAACTAGGAAGCCGAATGATAAAGCAATCTTTTACTTTTTTTAGAAAGCATATCTACAAAACCAGAGGACAAGGCCCGCAGACAATCCTAATCAGGCACGTGCATAGCATTGCTGAGATAATACTCGATGCAACTGTTGCAAGATCAGATGAACAAAAACTTTTCAACCAACAAAGGCAACCAAAACCAAACACACCGATAACCGAAGCTAACCACAACAAAATCAACAAAGATTGGGTTTTACAAGCCAGTAAAGATGCCATTCTGGATATACACATTAGAAACAATTCTCCATTAAGTTTACTCATAGTACACTGAAAATCAGCGGTTAGAGTTACATCATGTGCAAGGTCAACACTCCACAGAAATAAGTGAGCTTTGAGAAATATCCTCCTCCGTAGAGTCTCTCTCTATCATAAATAAATCTCACCAGCAAAACTTCTTTTTCTGATTCAAACAGAGCAAAATGTGAAGCAAACAGAATCATCAGAAATCTGGAAAATGTCCATTTAAGGTTTGTTCGAAAAAATACACGTGCAAACTTACCCGTAACTTGGCTTCTTCATGCCTATCAATGTA